TTAGCTACTTTTTCCATGTACCGTTTTTTGTCATCTGTGAGAAGTTTGGCGTGATATAGTCCACTTTGTTTCGAGCTGCTTTTCAGTATTATGGAGGATACTGCGGTAACACCACTTTGTTGTGGTCTGTGGACAAATAGCGCACGAGACGTAAACGTTCCACAGTGTCACTACGCAGTGACGTAGGTTTCAAAGCTTAGGTCTGGGTCAATGATTTGACCAGACTTGCCCCACAAAGAAAACCCCACCTCCTCATTTGAATATAAGAACATGAAATAAAAAGAGCTTAAAATGAAAAACGGGTTAAAACATAAAAGCCCCTGAAATATGTAAAGTAGCTTTACAAAATAAAAGTGTCACAAAATGAAACTCGATTATTACATAAATAAATCTTGAAATAAATAAATAAAATATATCGTGAAATAAATAAATAAGTAAATCTTGGAAAAAACTAATTTTTTTATGTTTTATTTCATGGGAACATTTATTTACTTAATGGAATATTTATTAATAATTTTTAAATAACACTATTTATTTATGTAAAAACACTAATAATACCATACCATACCATACCAATTTATTTATATAGCACTTAAAACAGCAACAAGGCCAACCAAAGTGCTGTACAAAAGAACACAAACATGCACAGCGGACAGGAAAACATAAAATAGAAATACAGATACAAATAGCATCAGAAGCTAACTAAAATGGCCAACAGAGTAGAGAACAGACCGGACCAAAACAAATCACACCGTGTTAAAGGCAAGAGAATAGAAGTGGGTCTTCAAGCGAGACTTAAAGACTGAGAGTGTGGGAGCCTGCCGGACACTCAGTGGCAACTCATTCCACAGTCGTGGACCTGCGACAGAGAAAGCCCTGACACCCCTGAGCTTACGACGGGTTTCTGGGACTGAGAGAAGCATCTGGTCTGCTGACCTCAGAGAGCGCGGTGGGACATATGGCTGCAGAAGATCAGTGAGATAGGATGGGGCGGAACTGTTCAGTGATTTAAAAACATACATGAGAATTTTGAAATGGATCCGAAGGTGAATGGGTAGCCAGTGCAGGGAGGCCAAAACTGGCGTGATGTGCTCTCTATAGCCTGTACCAGTTAAAAATCGGGCTGCAGCATTTTGGACCAGTTGTAGACGAGCAATGGAGGACTGACTGATTCCAAACAGAAGTGAATCGCAGTAATCAAGCCTAGATGTTATGAAGGCGTGGACCACTGTCTCAAGGTTCTTTTTGGAGAGTATAGGCTTCAGCTTAGACAGCCGTCTCAGCTGAAAAAAACAGGATTTTACCATCATGTTTACGTGACTGTTGAGTTTTAAGGATGGGTCCATTATCACCCCCAGATTAGTGACCTTTTGTTTCTCTAGCGGGGCTAGAGAGAAAAGGTCAATGTCATGGTTCATGAGTGAGCCACTGGGATGGAACAGCATGACTTCAGACCTCTTCTCATTGAAGCTTAAGAAGTTTAAAGCCATCCAGTCCCGGATGTCAGCCAGGCAGTCAAGAAGAGGCTGAATAGAGCGTGTGCCTCTGTGCCTCAGGGGGAAGTAAATTTGGCAATCATCGGCGTAGAAATGAAAGGGTATGTCGTGTTTGCGGAAGATAGCACCTAGTGGCAGCAGGTATAAAGAAAAGAGAAGGGGACCGAGGATGGACCCCTGCGGTACCCCCCACTGGAGCGCTGTCGATGCCGAACTAGAATCTTTGATATTGACACAGAAGGTTCTGTCAGATAGGTAGGACCCAAACCATTTAAGGGCTGACCCTGTGATGCCCACCCACTGCTCCAGTCTAGAAATGAGGATCTCATGGTCGATGGTGTCAAAAGCAGATGTAAGGTCCAATAGGACCAACAGCACAGAATCACCTGCGTCTGTGGAAATGAAAATGTCGTTAAAAACCTTCAGTAGAGCAGTTTCAGTGCTATGGCGAGATTTGAAGCCAGATTGGAATAACTCTAGGATAGCGTGATCCCCCAAAAACTGTTTCAACTGAGACTCCACAATTTTTTCCAGTAGTTTAGAGGTGAATGGGAGTCTGGAGACAGGCCGGAAGTTGGACATGACTGAGGGGTCAAGTTTAGGTTTTTTCAAGAGGGGCTGGACAGTAGCATGTTTAAAAGTCTTTGGCACCACACCTGAGGATAAACTACTATTCAGAATAGCGAGGATAAAAGGACCCAGGGTAGGAAAAACTTCCTTTAGCAGTCGAGGGGGGACCACATCAAAGGGGGAACCAGATGGCTTCATGCTGCACATTACCTGCTCCAGAGAGGACAGAGAGATGGGCTCAAAGTGGTCAAACACAGCCACACACTGAGATGGGATGGACAGATCATGAGCTGGTAGAGAAATGAGTGCCCGGGTGTTTGCCACTTTTTCTAAAAAGAAATGGAGGAAGTTTTCACACAGCTCAGTTGAGGCTTCCAGAGGTGAATGCTCACTGAGGTGTAGAACTGAGTTCAGGGTGGAGAAAAGAACTCGGGGGTTGTGGGAGTTGGAGACAATTAAATCAGAGAAGAATTTACATTTGGCAGCTTTAACGGTTTTCTGATAGTGATGCCAACTCTCCCTTAACATTTGAAAAGAAACCTGCAGCCTGTCCATCCTCCACCTTCGTTCAGCTCTGCGACACTGCCGCCTAACGGCTCGAGTGACGTCATTCAGCCAAGGCTCTGATTTAAGTTTAGTTTTTCTGGTCTTAAGGGGAGCAACACGGTCCAGAACATTTAAACAGGCAGAGTTGAACTGAGAGGTTAGCTCCTCAGTGGTAGGAGACACCGGGAACTGTTCGATCCTCTCAGAGTTAAAACCTTCATTAAAACGAGCAGCAGTGAAATGGTTAATGGAACGCGTACGTGCAGTAACGCGCGTCTTAGCAGTAGGACAAGGGGGGGTGAAGTCAAGCAATACAGGCATGTGATCTGAAAAAACATTGTCACCGATTTTCAAATTAGAAACAGAGACATCGCGTGTTAAAACAAGGTCCAGCGTGTGACCATGTTCTTGGGTGGGGCCGCTCACCTGCTGAGCTAAGCCAAAAGAGTCCAATAAATCTAGAAAGTCCTTCACTAAGGGCTTCTCCTGACAACACACATGCAAATTAAAGTCACCAATAAACAAAAAGTGAGTGTATCTCTGAGTGATATCAGCCAAAAAGTCAGAGAATTCATTTATGAAGTCCTTAGAACGAGGTGGGCGGTAGATGAGCGCACACAGGACCGGAGGAGAGTGTCCAAGTTCAAAGACGCTCAGCTCGAAGCTGGAGCGGGACACCGGGATGGACAACTGTTTACACGCAAAGTTTGCTTTAAAAACTGTTAATAATCCCCCCCGCGCCGACCTGATGGCCGCGGGGCATTGAAACATACACAGAAGTAGTTCCACCAAGGCGCTGGACTCACCATCAGAAATCCATGATTCTGTGACGAACAGAAAATCCAACTCCTCATCTTTAAAAAAGTCATTGAGGATAAACGTCTTGTTGGAAACAGACCTTGCGTTGATTAAACACATCCTGATATTGTCCAACACAGGCACAGCCGTGGAGGGAGACGCGCACGCCATAATAATGATGGTGGTCACTAAATGTTTGTTCAAGTGTCATCTAAAGGTCCGTTTCAGGTCCATTTCTGGTGATTTATGGAGCATTTGAACACATGGAAACTAAGAATTTGGACTTGTAGCAGGACACCAGCAATTTGATGTCAACTGATGGAAGATTCTCAAAATTAGGTCTCAAATTAAAATGAAGATGTTTTGTTCTATTGAAAATAAATCAGTGCATTCCACTCAAATTATTACCAGGATGCAAACTATTCCACAATCACAAGATTTATTGTAATCAAAAGTAAAATAAAATAAAGAAATACAGCAAAATAAAACAAAAGCTTTTACATCATCAAGTATGAAATTTGATAATAATCTTTCAACATTGATTTACAGTGGTATTAAACCAAACAGCTTGTTGTAAAATGATTGAAACATGATTGAATTATCACAGAAATATTTTGAACATAGAACTTTTGGATGAATTTGTCATTTTAGGAGATGAACTAAATGAGGATGATGCTCATGTAAAACTTGTCAAATCTTCTCTGACAAAACCAAACATCTTATTCTGCTGTTGACTCTTGTTTGGTGTCGTTTATTGGATTCAACAAATAAGTCTTAAGAAACAAAACATATTGACAACTTAATTTACTCATTGAACAAACTGGAGCCTCAGCAGCATGTGGAAGAACCATACACAGCCACAACAGCCTGGCACCTCTTCATACCAATAAACAGGAAGGCAGCCATTTTGGATCTAGGTCCAAAATTTCACACTTTTTGGAGGTTTACAGCCTAAGCATTTGAACTCCTAGGGATTTCCACCAGTTCTAGCCTCCCTGCACTGGCTACCGGTTCACCTTCGAATCCAGTTCAAAATACTCCTGTATGTTTTTAAATCACTGAACAGTTCTGCCCCCTCCAGTCTCACTGATCTGCTGCAGCCGTATGTCCCACCGTGTTCTCTGAGGTCAGTGGACCAGTTCCTCCTCACAGTTCCAGGAACTCGTCTTAAGCACAGAGGTGACAGGGCCTTCTCTGTAACAGGACCAAGACTTTGGAACGAGTTACCTCTGCTTGTCAGACAGGCCCCCTCCCTCACAGTTTTTAAATCCTACTTAAAAACCCACTACTATTCCCCGGCTTTCAACACTGTAGATCTGTGCTGAACCTGTATGCATCACACTGTGTTAGACATTATGTTATCTGCTATTATTTTGTTTCTCTATTTTGATTTTGCGTAGAGTTATATGTTGCTGTGTGCTCTGCCTGTTTGTTTCTGTTTGTACAGCACTTTGGTTGGCCCCGTTGCTGTTTAAAGTGCTCTGTAAATAAAATGGTATGGTATATGAGACAGTAGAGCTATTCTCAGATCAGTTCCCACTGCAGCCCTGAGAGTCATCTCCACTGATTCTTCTGTTAGTCACTGCTGGATGAAGCTCTCCTCTCCACCTCCCACAAACAGTCCAGTCAGAGTGTCTGCATACAAGCTGCTGCTGCTTCAACCTCTGTGGATCATCAGGACACAGCTCATCTTCTCCCACAAACACACCATCATGTTCAGCTCTCCACAACAATCACATCCAGCTGTAGAGAGAAGAAGAAGCAGCAGAAGAGATAAATGAGTCTTTCAGAGAGACCAACACAAACTTCAATCACAACACATTGTGCAACATCTTTGGGTAAAACTTAAAACTGTTGGGAGTCAACCCTGCTTGTCTGTTATCAAAATATTTCATAAACCACTGGATGGACTTTATTTAAACTTGTAGTAAATAAATCTGAAATGTTCACCTTCAACTGATTAACTTTTGGAGTCAACACAATTCAAGATGGCTGCCACAGCTAATCAAATTGAGCCTAGACATAAATATGTGTAAGTCAGTGAATTTGACAGATCCTGATGTAAAATGTGGTGTGGTAGTAGCTGACAGTCATTCACAACATCCTCCAAGCACTAACAGATCAGCTGAGACATCACTTTTTTTTTTTTTTTTTCATTTAGCCTTTATTTATCCAGGTTAGTCTCATTGAGCCAAGAGAACTCATTTTCAAGAGAGACCTGTTTGGGGAGCACATGGTGGGGGTTAAGGGCCTTGCTCATGGGCCCAGAGTGGGGCGAATGAGGGTGGGGGCAAGTGTGGGTGTTTCACCTACCCCACCCACAATTTTGATGTTGTCGGGGCCGGGGCGTGAACCGGCGATCCTCGGATCACAAGCCCACCTCTCTAACCTCTGCGCCACCACTCCCACATGATCACATGACATGTTATTTTGGTGAGTGATCTGCATTCCTTCAAGTAACGCTCGCTCTTTCCTTCTTTTCTTGTCTTTCTGTTTGATCCTGAAACCAGTCCCTGTTCTCCTCTCATACATTCATTCAGAAATACAGTTACTGGGAAGCTGCAGGTTTACTGGAAACACTGGAGCTTTGCTTTGACAACAACCGGCTTTAGTCCAATTCTGCTGAAAGCAGCAGGAACGACTCCAACCTTCTACTGACCTCAGAGTCTGCAGTCTGTAGTCTGGACTCTCCACAAGATCCAACAGCTGCTGAACATCTGGATCCTGCAGGTTGTTTTCTCTCAGGTCAAGTTCTGTCAGATGGGAGGGGTTGGACTTCAGAGCTGAGCTCAGAGAAGAACAGCTGATCTCTGACAAACTGCAGCTCCACAATCTGAATAAAGAATAAAACATGTAAGTTTAGAAACAAAACAAAACTTTTAAAAACTCTGAACTCTGAAAAACTTTGATCCAGCTGAAAGATGTTTTGATCAAACCTTGAAACAAACTTGATGTTCAATCTCCAGAGATGTTGTGATATCTTGAACAATCTGACATGATTCCTTAGCTCTTGAAGAATGTTGTGAATGACTCTCAGCTACTACCACACCACATTTTAGCTCAGTGTCTGTAAAATTCACTGAGGTAAAGACACTTCTGTGTTGGCTGAGGTCAATTAGCTGCAGCAGCCATCTTGAATGAGGTTGACAACAAACAGTAATCAAACAAGTAAAGTTTAGAGGAAACTCTTGCTACTCTGCGATTCGACTTTCGTGGTTTTTCAAAGTAAGATTGGACATGACACACAATTGGCTGATTGATGGATGAGTCGCACGATTGGCATGGATTTTTTTATTTCTTCTTCTTCGTCTTCTTCTTTCGGCTTTTCCCTCTTCAGGGTCGCCACAGCGAGTCATCCTCCTCCACCTCACTCTGTCCTCTGCATCCTCTGTCCTCACTCCAACTACCTTCATGTCCTCTCTAACTGCATCCATATATCTCCTCTTTGTTTTTTTCCTGGCAGCTGCATTTCTAACATCCTTCTACCAATATACCCATGGTCCCTCCTCTTGACATGTCCAAACCATCTCAGTCAGGCCTCCCTAACATTATCTCCCAGTTGTTCAACCTGTGCTGTGATTATCTCATTCCTAATCTTATTCAGCCTTGTCACTTCTAAGGAGAACCTTACCATCTTCATTTCTGCCACTTCCAGTTCTTTCTCCTGTCTTTTTGTCCATGTCTCTGTCTCCAGACCATACAACATAGCTGGTCTCACCACTGTTTTGTAAAATTTTCCTTTGACCTTTGCTGACACCTTTTTGTCACAAATCACTCCTGAAACTTTTCTCCATCCACTCCATCCTGCCTGGACTCTCTTTTTCACTTCTTTACCACATTCCCCATTTTCTTGGACAGTGGACCACAAGTACTTGAAGTCTTGCATCTTTGTGACCTCTGCTCCTTGTAGCCTCACTGTTCCACTGGCCTCCCTCTCATTCACACACATGTACTCTGTCTAACTACGGCTGACTTTCATTCCTCTTCTTTCAAGTGCACACCTCCACCTCTCCAAGTTCTCTTCCACCTGTTCCCTGTTCTCACCACAGATCACAATGTCATCTGCAAACATCATAGGCCATGGGGATTCTTGCCTGACCTCATCTGTTAGTCGGTCCATCACCAGAGCAAACAAGAAGGGGCTCAGAGTCGATTCTTGATGCAACCCCACCTCCACCTTGAAGCTATCTGTCACTCCTACAGCACATCTCACCACTGTCCTGCTGTCCTCATACATGTCCTGCTGTCCTCATACATGTCCTGTACCAGTCTAACATACTTTTATGCCACTCTAGATTTCCTCATGCAATACCACATCTTCTCTCTTGGCACTCTGTCAGATGCTTTTTCTAAATCCACAAAGACACAATGGAGTTCTTTCTGACCCTCTCTGTACTTCTCCATCAGCATTCTCAAAGCAAAGATGGATCTGTGGTGCTCTTTCTCAACATGAAACCATACCGCTGCTCACAGATAGTCACCTATCGTCTAAGTCTTGCTTCCAAAACTCTTTCCCAGATCTTCATCGTGTGGCTCATCAACTTAATTCCCCTGTAGTTGCTATAACTATACATCACCCTTGTTTTTAAAAATGTGCACCAGCACACTTCTTCTCCATTCCTCAGGCATTTTCTCACCCTCAAATATGCCATTGAATATTTGAGTCAAAAACCTCACTGCCATCTCTCCAAGACATTTCTAAACCTCCACTGGTATGTCGTCAGGTCCTACTGCCTTCTCCTTCTTCATTCTTTTCAGAGCTTTCCGGACTTTACCCTCACTAATCTTTCCCACTTCCTGGTCCACAGTTTCTATGAACTTTTCTTTCTCTTTCATTCTCTTCATTCATTACCTCCTCAAAGTACTCCTTCCATCTTCCCGTCACACTCTCCTCACTTGTTAGAACATTACCATTCCTATCTTTAATAAGCCTATTCATTCAACCTTTATTTAGACATGTAAATCCCATTGATCCTCCAGGACTCATTTACAAGAGAGACCTGATTTCAACAAAAAATGATGACAACAATGGACAACAGTGACAACAATAAACAGTTATAAAAAGTCATCCTATTTTTAACAAATAGGATGGCTAAAAAGAAGGAAAAGTAAAAAAGAAAAGAAAAGTATCAAAAAACAGCTAGATTCTAAGGCGAATGTAAAAAACTAAAAACAGGAACATGTCTGCATTGTTCCTTGCCAGGAGTCCAACAGATTCTTAAAGCCACTTAGAGAGGTCAAAGGTCGAGAGCTTCAGATCTTTTTGTAAGATATTCCAAGAAACAGGAGAAGAGTAGGAGAAGGCCCTTTTGCCTAGTTCAGTTTGCACTGAGGGAACACTGCAGGTAATGATGTCCTGAGAGCGCATGCTGTAGCTGCACTCACGCAGAGACATGAAAGAGGAGATGTACGAAGGTAGCAGACCAAGAAGTGATTTAAAGATGAAAATGTACCAGAGAGAGAGTCTGCATGAAGTTAATGATGTCCAGTTAACCAGTGAATACAGAGTGCAGTGGTGGGTATGATAATCACAGCCAATTATAAATCTTAGTACACCATGATAGACAGCATCCAACATCTGCAGGGTTCTTGTAGGAGCGTTCATGTAAATAACGTCACCATAATCAATGGAGGGAAGGAAAGTCACAGATACAAGGCGTTTCCTAGCATTCAGGGTTAGACTGGATCTGTTTTTGAAAAAGAAACCCAGTTTAACTTTCAGTTTCTTTACCAAGTTTTTCACATGAAGCTTAAAAGAGATGCGAGTCGACCAAGATACCCAAATATTTATAGGAATCAACAAACTCAATGGGGACACCATTTGAGGATGAGATCAGAGGAAGAACTGCTGGGACCAACTTCCTATTTGAAAAAAGCATCTCTTTGGTTTTGTCGGCATTTAGGACAAGTTTGAGGCGGAACAAATCTGTCTGGATGTTGTTGAATGCAATTTACAACAGCTGGAAAGCCTTATCAATTGTTTTAGCTCGACATTAAACAACTGTGTCATCAGCATAGAAATGTATGGATGCATTAGGGATGTTTTTATCTACCCGGTGTTGTTTGTGTGTTCTGACTCATTAGCAATGATATTGCCACACAACGCGTCAGGTTGTTTGTCCGTGGCAATACCTCTCAATATTTCTAAGAACCGACGCACAGTCTCTGTCTCGTCTGAGCTCAGAGGTCTGGGGCTCTTTTTCTGGACCCACTGCTGTTTCTTTTTCGTCTCAGGCTGTTCAGGCCGACGTGGAGTGGGAGCAGGCCCCCTCCTCTGGGGTTCCGGTGGGATCCCTGGTTGTATGGGTTACCTTGGGTGCCAAACTTTTTACTCTTAGGACGTGTGCCCCCCTTCTGGTACATTCGTTCATCCTCTGGTTTCTTGGGAAACCATTTAGGATCTCATCTGAACCAGGGGGCACTCATCTGTTGTGGTTTGGCAGATGGAAAATCTCGTTTCCTCTCGCCTTTCTTGGGAAGGGGAGTTGAAGCTCTCGTCCCTTCCAATTCTAATGACTGAGAAGGAATCCTCTCACCTGGGAGCACCTCAATGGGTGTTTTGGCCTGTGAACAGGCCTCAAAGACATTCACAGCACAATTTTTTATCTCACTGATGGTTTTTTCTTTGAAATTAGCCATCATCTGTACTGACGTCCTTATGTCAGGGTGGAGATTTTTGCTGAAAACGAACTTAAACGCCTCCTCCTCCTCCATGCCGGTTTCGTTCCTGTAACCAAAATAAGCCTGCAAAATTCTGGAATAATATGCCCTTGGGTGTTCATTCTTACCTTGCATGACCTTGTCGGCGGCTGGATAACCGCCAGGTCCCGAGCAAAGGGTATACTCTTTAATTAGAGCAGCACATAGGCTGTAATCCTTCCTTGTAGCATCTGGTTGACACTCAATAAAGGAAAACACCGTCCTGGCTACAGTGAGCCTGATCAAACCTATTTTATCCTCAACTGTAGCGTTCGGATAGCTTCCCAGTTGAAGTCAAGGTCTTGCAGATAGGCCTTAGTGTCGGTCGAACCCAACGGCCCTGGCTCGAAGCGTTGGACATATTTTGCTATTTTTGCAATACTGCTATTGAGAGCGGAGGATGAAGGCTTAGTGGAGGTTGAACAAAAGAATCACGTGGAGGTGGCATAAGGAGAGTTTGTGTAGGAGGTACAACAAAATCACGTGGAGGTGGTGATGGTTGGACTCTGACCCTGTTTGTCTTTGAGTTCCAGACATCTTTTCCCCTCGTCAGAGATTTTATTTGTGGCTACGGCAAGTTTTGCCTCACAGGCTGTTAACCGTTCACGTGATGTATGACACTCACTTTGTAAACGCACGCCTTGTTGGACTAATGCCGCTCTTTCCAATTTGCACTCGTCCAGAGATTTTGATGTTAGCTACAACTGTTGGTGCAGAATATCATTGTCTGAACACAGTGTTTGGTACTCTACCCCTCCTTCACATAGCATTTCCTCATATGAGTCTGCCTGCAACGACAGCTGAGCTTGTGAAAACACTTTCTCACGTTGCAATTTTTCCTCCCAGGTCTCCTTTTCAAATTGAAACTGTGCCTTGAGTTGTAGATACTCATCATGTATTGCTTCGCGGTCCTCTGAGTCGCATTTCAAATTTATTTCAAGGGCTTCTCTCCTGCTGGCCTCCAGGTAATACTCAGCTTTTAGCAAGAGTGCTATTTTAGCTAGTTGCTCGTAGCCCGACTTCTTTATGGCTGCAGAAGTGACACCTTCTTAAGCTCGTCCAGTAAATCTGTTGAGTTCATGCATTCCACCTGGTCACCATATGGAGATAAGGAATCTGTGAGCAGCGTCAGAG